TTCAAAAGCATGCAAAAATGAAAGTAGAAAAACAGGGACCACCTTTGGTGGGAAGGGAACAGCATTCTGTGCACCTTTGGCATTTAGTCATGCTGGCCACATGACCACGGAGACGTCTTCAGACAGTGCTGGCTCTTCGGCTTTGTAACGGAGATGAGCCAGAAATGACTAGCATGGATGTGCAAAGGGAACCTTTATCTTTACCTAGTCTAGTGAGAAGAAGGACTAGGGGGGTGACATGTTAACAGGGTTCCAATATTTGATTCTCCAAAGCCCCTGCAGGGAGGACAAGAAGCCACGGACGGAAACTCATCAAGGAGAGAAGCAAGCTAGGAGGAATTTCCTAACAGTGAGAACTGTGTGGAAAGCGCCTGCCTTCAGAAGTTGTGGGTAGTCTCAACACTGGAAGTTTTTAAGAAGAGATTGGACAACCAGTTGTCCAGAAGGGTGCACAGCATCTCCTGCTTGAGCAGAGGTTAGACTAGAAGACCTCCAAGGTCCCTCCCAACTCTGTTATTTTTGTTCTGACCAAGGCTTATTGAGACACTAGCAAACACACGTTAGTCTCCAAACCCCTTTTTTCTTTATTTCAACAGCTGTGAATTTTAATCATTCACAGCCTGTAATGAGTCTCACACCGTTTGTAAATAGTTCCACGGAAGTCTGTCAAAGTCCTTCAGGATAAGTCTGATAAGCACCCACCTTTATCTCCCTTGAAATGCTGCCGACATCTAAATGTCCGATTAGTTATACGAGGCCAACAGGAGCACAAATTAAACACGGAGCTTCAGGTTTCAAACCGACCAGTACGAACAAAGTTGCTTCCTGCAAAGGCTCCTGTCCCTTTGCTCCTCCTTTATGTCTTATGGGAGGGCCAATCACCTCCAAGCTTTACGTCCCTTTTGTCTTAGCTGCTCTTGCCTTCTGGCAGCTCTGCGCATGTGCATACTGGGAACAGGCTCCCCTTGTTCCTCTGCCTTGCTGCTGTCAGATTCTGGAGGCTCCAGAGTCAGCACATAACTCCCAGATGGCCCTGGCCCCATCTCTGTATAGGATACAGGACCCTCGTCCAAGTCCTCCCCAGACTCCCAGACTGGCCCATATCCCTCCCCACTGTCCGACTCTGCTGCCGTCTCCGCAGGCTGCCAATGGACACAACAATTCTGCTTCTTCTCCATGACAGATAAGACCACGATGGTTTGCCACTTAGGAGAGACCCTTCTGGACGGTAATGAGTTCCTTTCTTTGCTGCGCAAAAGCCTTCCGAGCTCTGGACTTCCATGAGTCACGCTTGAGAATGAAAACCTTCTCTGTATGCAAAACATCTGCTCGTCGCTTGTCAAAAAAGCAACATTAATCAAGGCAGTAGATGGGGGCTTCTCTGCGCCTGAAGGCACAGACCCAAAGCCTCATAATTATCTGTTGTTGGCTGCTAAACTTTAGAACGTTACATAAGCATCTTGAGGTAAAGCTGGCCTGCTATGGACAGTGCACGTTTGCTGATGCCATTTTTGGCATTACAGGCATTGTGCAGCCTGCCAAAACTTCACTACCCAAGGAGAGCCGGTGTGAATTCGATGACTGAGCCCAGATCTGCATCCAATTCTGACACCCTTCTACAATCTTAAATGTTTTACACCCGTTGCCATCATCCAGAAAGATAAATTCCAACCCTCCAGTCGCAAACTCTAGATTTTTTTTTTTTTTAAAAAAACACTTCAGTTCAAACTCAACTCCTGCTAATCTTAATGGACACATCCCTGCAGGGTTTTATCTGTTTGTTTGTTTTAAAATTGTATTATCTTCTACATTTGTTTGACTTCCCTGCTTAGTCTCCGATCCAAGGATTTGGTAATGGTCTCTTATTCAACTACCAGTCCTGCTCAGTTTTCAAAACCAGAATAAGTCAGTTAAGTGCTGCCGTCTAAAGGGAGAATTAAAACGGGAATATGGGGGGGGGGGATTTTTTTTTTTTTAAGAAATGATATGTAAACAACATTAAGAAAAGAATCTGCAGAGTGATTCAAGAGGCGTTCGTAAACAAACAACAATGGAGGCTTTGAGATATTTTTCTCTCTCTCTTCCGAATGGTATCTACCTACCCAGAAAAATGGACAAAGGTTTCCTTATAATAGGAGAGAATATCCTCGCAGGCTACAAGGGGAAGCAAAGAGAAACTTTGACCCTTCTTCCTTCCTCTCTCGTGGTAACTAGCCAGATTACTACAGAAACGGATGTGAAAGCAACTAGCACTCTATGTTCCAAATTTGCTTCACCCAATGAGTTAGATTGCGTTCCCGAGCAAAGTTGCTAAACCCAAGTTTGTTGAGCAAGCCATCACGGACTGGTTTGGACATGACACAAGCCAGGGAATCCAGGTCTCCACATCAGGAGGGGTCACAAATGTACAAATCACTGTATTTAGTACACTGTGAGCTCAACCTGTCTGCCAATCAAACCTAGCCTGTCTTCTGCTAGCTGGTAGAACTTCAATACTGCAGGGACCAAAATGGGTTTTCTATCTATCCCACCACTGAGGTGTTCTGGAATGGGAGAGATTGAATGAGATGGAGGGCCGCACATTCCTACAGCCAGTTTGGTCTCAGTGGTTAAGATGCTGGCCTAGAAACCAGGAGGCTGTGAGTTCTAATCCCACCTTAGGCATGAAAGGCCAATTGAGTGACTTTGGGCCAATTACCTGGAGACTGGGAGTTCTAGTCCTGCCTTAAGCACAAAAGACAGCTGTGTAACTTGGCCCAAATGAGTTGGGAGTTCTAGTCCTGCCTTAGGCATGAATGCCAACTGGGTGACTTTGGGCCAGTCCCTTCCTCTCTCAGCCCAACCTACCTCAAAGGTTTGTCGTTGTGGGGAAAACAGGAAAGGGTATTAGGTACATTCAACTCCCTTGAGTTACTTAAAAAGTCATAAAGGCGAGATTTTAAAAAAAAAAACCTAATAAATAACTAAAATTGATGAAGTTGTCAGCCCTCTCCCAATGTCCCAAATATTCAACTCCTTCCCTCAAAACGATGCTATAGAGCCTTGGACACCAGAACAAGGAGACAGAAGGACAGTTTTTCCCCAAACGCCATCACTCTGCTAAGCAAATAATTCCCTCCACATTGCCAAACTATTTACAAAGTCTGCAGTACTATTACTGTTAATGTTCTCATCACTCCTTATCACCCATCTCCTCCCACTTGTGTCTGTAGGACTGTAACTTTGTCGCTTGTAACCTTACGCTTTATACTGACTGTTTCCTGTTATGATTTGATTGTTTATTGTATCCTATGACTATCATTAAGTGTTGCACCTGATGATTCCTGACTCTTGACAAATGTACCTTTTCTTTATGTATACTGAGATTATTTACACCAAGACAAATTCTTTGTGTGTCCAATCACACTTGGCCAATGAAGTATTCTGTTGTGTTCTGTTCCTATTTCTATTTCCATTTCTATTATTTCTATTTCTATTATTTCTATTTCTATTTCTGTTCTATTCTATTCTATTATGAAGTCAGGACAAGAAGCCTAACCCTAACCATTTGTCTGAAGTGATGTAGGGTTTCCTGCCTAAGCAGGGGGTTGGACTAGAAGACCTCCAAGGTCCCTTCCTTCTCTTCTCTTCTCTTCTATTTCATTCCTATTCCATTCCATTCCAAAATAGAAAACCAGACAGATTAACAGAGTCGGAAGGGACCTTATAGGTCATCTAGTCCAACCCCCAGCTTTCTTCTGGTCTCGAAAGCCACCAGCACAGGGGGCTAACTTAACCAAATCAAGATTGCTAATGGGGACAGAGTTACAAGGGTACCTCTGGGCTGAAAGACCCACAGAGCAGGTTTTTTTTAAAAAAAAAAAAACCTCCCCCCCCCCAAAAAAAATATGGCTGTCCTTTTTTTGTGACACTTGAAGCTTGTTGCTGGAGGGGGGGGGGAGGTTTCCCTGTTTCTCCTTCCCCTCAACCGGGGTAACCTCGGCCCAGCGGAGACCCCTCCCTCCCTCCCATGTAAGGCAAACCAGGTTATCCAGCTGAAAGATGCTCCTATAGACCCCCAGGCCCGACTGTCAAAGGGGGGCGGGGAGTGAAATAAACCCCCCGTTTCCAATTCAGCCTTTGCTGTCAGCTGCCCTTTTTCCAGCCATCGTCCATTTTCCTCCTTCGAAGGAACCAGAGACCTCAAAATGAATTTTAAAAAAAACAAAAACCACAGCTCTGCCACCAGTCCCGGGTTCGTTTCCTTCCGGAACAACAAAGGGAAGCAGAAAGGTTGACAAGCTCGGCTGCCTTTTTCTCTTTTCTTTTCTTTTGAATCACCCCTAACCCGAAAGAAAGGCTCAGGATTAGGCGCAGGTGTCTTCCCATCCTCCTGCAAGGAGACAAAAGCTCCCCTCTCTCCACTACTTTATTTTGGGGGGTGGGTGGGGGGTAGCCCACTTTCCTCCTCGTCTTGCCAGCGCCCCGCGTGTGTGGCTCAAATGGCAGGCAAATTACGCAAGCGCCCCCTCCCCCTTCCGCAGCCGCCTCTGGCTGGGGATGATGGGAGCTAGAGAGGGAAAGGGGGGGG